TTTGGTTAATAATTTTTGGTATTTCTTGATTTACTTTGCATATATGCATGTATAAATAATTTCTTTTTGGTATGTTGATTTAGCCATTATGATATGCTGTGAACTGTTCTTACTAAATGTTCATGTTACGTGGGTGATTATCCTTCGAGAACTTCTAAGGAGTGCATTTGATGATAGAAACAAAAAGTTGATTGAACGTTGAAGGCGGCTGGACGATATAATCAGATAAATGTTTACTCTGAGTTCTGACATACATTTTAAGACTTATAATTTGTTTTTAATATTTTAATTGTTGACTTTTTTCAATAAAATTTAAAAACAAAAAATTGTTGAGTTGAATTTCGTTCTAAATTTTATACCTGAAAATAATCGAAACCGAAAGGGAATTGATTTTATAACATAGGACTGAAACATCATCACTATATAACAATAAACAATAATAATAAAGAATTTTTTAACGGTCAATATTTCGTTATATTCGTTTGTTTAAAATCCGAAATTTTAAAAAATTCACATTTTTATATTTTTAAATGATATCAAATAAAAGCAAAGCAGCCATGTGTCTTTCTTGCTTCATTAAACTCCGAAACTGTTGGTAGGTATGGTATACTTCTGAACTACCTCGTATTATTAATAACTTTTCTTTCTCTAGTCAACTATATGCTGATGATTCTTATATTTATACTTCTTTTCCTCCATCTAATCTCAATAGTGTTCTTCATAATTTATCTCTATGTCTTTCTTCGATTATCGCTTGGTCTGATTCTATGTGTCTTAAACTTAATCCTTCTAAGTTTGAATTAATTTGTTTTAATAAATCTAAACACTCAATTACTATTCCTCCTATTATCTTACCTGATTCTAAAACTCTTGATGTCTCTCATAAGTTTCGTAGTCTAGGTTTTATCTTTGATTCTACTATGTCTCTCTCTTCTCAGATTAATAGTGTTGCTAGAAGCTCTTACTTTCATCTACGTAGAATAAAAAAACTTTTGCCTTTTCTTGATGATCCTACTCTTCTCCTTCTTGTTACTTCGTTAGTCTTATCTAGGATTGATTATTGTAACTCGCTCTACTATGGTCTTCCTGACTCTATACTCTATCCTTTAAGTAAAGCTTTTAACTCTGCTGCTCGTCTAGTTGCTCGTGCCCCTTTCTTTTCTCATATATCTCCATATCTTGTTCTCTTGCACTGGCTACCTATAAAATATAGAATAATTTTTAAAATTTGCACATTCATGTATAAGTCTCAATCTAAATTATTTCCTAAGTACTTATCAGATATATTAATT